GAAGACAGAGGTACCAAACGGAGGAGGATTGGATCAATAGGGTAAACCAGATTAGCAGAATGGAAAAATCTTATCATATTCAGGAAGACAGGATGAAAATATATTATTCACGATGGATGGGAAAAATCGGGATTGAAAGAGAAATATAGAAAACTCTAAACCAGGATGTTATTCGAAGTTACTGGGCCTAGAGAAATTGGACATCTTGCAGAGGGGAGGGGGGGGGAAGGGGGGAAATGGGGGGAAATGGTGGGTTGGGAGGGAAGGGAAAGAAAAGAGGTAAATAGAAGGGACAGAGTAGAAATGTATTGATATTATATATGTATTGTGTTTCTTATAATGGAATTTTTGTAATAATGTAAAAAATTTATAAATATTTAAATTAAAAAAAAAAAAAAGAAACAATATTTTTCTGATTGTTTGGAGTGGAATAGATCTGCACAAGAAGAAAGTGAAACCAAGTGTGAGGAGGAAGGGCTGACAGTCTAAGTTTCTTAAAATATATATATTTTGTTTAGCCAAATTAGTTAACAAACATGGATGTTTAAGCAAATCACATATGCTGGAATGTTATTGTTTCAGTTGAATAAATCTATTTAAATTGTTATTAAGGTAATGATTATTTTTCTCCTTCCTAAGTACAACAGAAAAGTTGTCCAAATATGAATGATTAACCTATTAAACTGGGGATAAAAAAACTAATATGGAAAGTTGTTATTCTAAAAATCTTCATCTACTTGTATATTAAAGTTATACCAGCAAGAATTAGTCTATGTAGAAAACTAGGATTTAAATCAAGCCTTACTGACTAGCGATTTAAATCAAATCCACCCTGTCACAGACACCATTGATCTTTTTAGCTATCTGTAAGGAGGTAATTCATCCCACTGACCACAAGAGTAAGGAGCATTCTTCCTACTGACCATCACACTAATGTATCATGAGTTGTAGATATAGTCATTTTTTAGTTATTTCAAGGTTCCTCTGTGTTGAAAACGTTGAGAAAGGCTATCCTAGACCATGTAACAAGCACCACACCACTGCTAAGAGGTCCAGATACAACTTTAGTCCTATAAAAAACAGGAGGACAACACAAAAAGTAACCAACGCATCTTGGGTGCTCCAAGAGCGCCCCCTTCATCAGGGCAAGAGAAAAAAAATAAAAGAGGGACATCTCCATATCAATCTGATATTAATACATTGTATTGATATTGGATTGATATGGAAATGTGCTTATGTTTTTTTCTAGCCCTGATGAAGGGGGTGCTCATAGAACACTCAAATTGTGTTGGCTGCTATTTGTATGCTTGAACCTGGTGGCTCAGAAGTAGGCTTGACGTTTGCGGTAGTTCAGCAACTTGTGACTTACTAGAGCTCAGTACGCATTAAAGCTTGGTAGCTCAGGACCTCTGGTTTGCTCCTGGTTTTACTCCTATATTCTTTAAAAGTATAATTAAATGGTAAGTTCACTATTTCACAAAAATAAAAAGGTGAACAAACTCCATATATCCTGGCCACCATTCCTGACCCTGCTGAACATAGCGGTTGTGATGTCCCATGCTGCCGATATAGGGGTCCATACAGTGCAATACACAGCCCAAGAGAAAATATCAAACATAATGGTCACAATAGTGAGCATCCACACCCCCCCCCCCCCCACCCCTTCCTTCCTTTCCCCAGCAGTTTCCAGTGCAGGACTGAAGGGGACATTAATGTAAAAGATGACTCTGATGCAGATACTGGAATGAAGGGGGACTCTGATGGGGACCCTGATGAAAGGGTGGCCTTGATGGAGATTATGATGTAAGGGGGGGTGTCTGATGGAGATTATGATGTAAGGGGGGGGGGGGGGGAAGTCTGATGGGGATTGCGATGTAAGGGGGGGGTCTGATGAGGATTGCGATGTAAGGGGGGGGGGGGGGGTCTGATGAGGATTTGCGATCTAAGGGGGGGGTGAGGGGCGATCTAAGGGGGGGCTTGATGAGGATTGCGATCTAAGGGGGGGCTCTGATGAGGATTGCGATCTAAGGGGGGGCTCTGATGAGGATTGCGATCTAAGGGGGGGGCTCTGATGAGGAGCGATCTTGCGGCTCTAGGAGGGGGGGCTCTGATGAGGATTGCGATCTAAGGGGGACTCTGATGGCTTGCGATCTAAGGGGGGACTCTGATGAGGATTGCGATCTAAGGGGGGACTCTGATGAGGATTGCGATCTAAGGGGGGGCTCTGATGAGGCTTGCGATCTATCTAAGGGGGGCTCTGATGAGGATTGCGATCTAAGGGGGGCTCTGATGAGGCTTGCGATCTAAGGGGGGGGGCTTGCGATCTGAGGGGGGACTCTGATGAGGCGATCTAAGGGGGGACTCTGATGAGGCTTGGGACTCTGATGAGGCTTGCGATCTAAGGGGGGACTCTGATGAGGCTTGCGATCTAAGGGGGGACTCTGATGAGGCTTGCGATCTAAGGGGGGACTCTGATGAGGCTTGCGATCTAAGGGGGGACTGATGAGGCTTGCGATCTAAGGGGGGACTCTGATGAGGCTTGCGATCTAAGGGGGGCTTGCGATCTAAGGGGGGACTCTGATGAGGCTTGCGATCTAAGGGGGGACTCTGATGAGGCTTGCGATCTAAGGGGGGACCTGATGAGGCTTGCGATCTAAGGGGGGATGAGGCTTGCGATCTGATGAGGCTTGCGATCTAAGGGGGGACTCTGATGAGGCTTGCGATCTAAGGGGGGACTCTGATGGGACACTGATTTTATTTTTTATCTAAAGATCTTTCTCTTTTGTTTTGAATCATATCATGTGGATTGAAAAAAATAAGTAAAACTTATTAAATAAGACTTTTTTTTTTTTCTGGCCCAAGAATATTTGTAAATTTTATGAAGTGGCTATGGTGCAGAAAAAGTAAGGAAACCCCTGGTCTACAGCTACATTGGAGATTTTAGTTGCTCAGTTCTGCTATTAAAATTGCAAGAGAGTAATTGCTAGGTGCAACAACTGTTTGGAAAAAATGGCTTGGTAAGAAGTAAGCTATACGGGAAGCATGTAGTTGCATCTTAAAGAGTCCAACACACAATGTAAGCATTCTGCAATCACGCGAGATTAACTGCTTCCACATGCCACCTGTGTAACTAATTCCATAGGGAGCCAGGAATTGCGAATGATGAGATACTGAAATTCTCCTGTGTAGCTCTTTGCTATTTAGTTGGTGGCAACAATTGCCCTTGTAGGTTGGTCCTGAAGTAGGCCAAACACGAGAAAACTTTGGCTGCTTCATGATGGAATGTCTGAAATTGGCTCAGTAGGTGACCGTGACGCCTTCCCCCCCCCCCCCCGGTCAACATCTCTCAGTTGAAAAACTAAGGATTCAGGAGATTCAGCCACCCGATCTGTGTAGTGTAGATGGAGGAATCTGTTTGATTTTTTCTGCTTAGCCTGCAGGTCAAACAGAAAAATCTGTGTATGGCCAGCTTTAGGCTGCATTGAGCTTTGTTTTTAATTTGCCTTATATCTCATGGTTGATTGGCAGTCACTGAAAGAAAAACAGGACATTGCATTTTTGTGCACTGTGCTCCAAGACGCTGTAATGTGTCATACAGAATTACATAACGTTAAAAAAAAAATAAATAAAAAAGGCAAAAAAAGAAAGCAGTGCAATACATTTTGACACACTGCAGTGCACGTTAACACTGCACATGTGCGTACAATAATGTGCGCTGTGTGGTGTGTACAAGCCTTAGGACCTCTTTCAAGGTTTTCATTGCTGGTGCTGACTTAGCACAGTATGAAACATGGACACACAAAATATGGGACACCTCTGTCCTACCCCCTGAAGGAAAAAGCAGCATATTTATTTTATTTAAACACATGAAATAAATAAATAGAACATTGACAACTGCATAGAAAAGGCTATTTTTCTGAAATCCTTTAAATTAAATGATTTGCTATTACTTACAAATAATGGTACCAGATCCCCTCCCCCAGGCCCAAGTCAAACTATCTTTCTGTATGTATTTTATACTTATTTACAATTGATATTTAGTAGGAAAAAGATTGTTTTTAGCCTTTGTAACACGGGTCTTAAAACAGAGGTCCTGCCATTCAAACTTCTGATACGCCATCCAATTGGAATGCAGGTTTAGAGTGCATGAAAATTAAAGTGTTTCTAAATACAAGAACAAAAAATTGCACATACTGCATTTAACCAGTCCTTTGATTCGGTGGCTGCATTCACTTTCTTATTTCAGGCTTCTTTTCTTTCAGTTATTCTGCCAGTAACACAATTCCTGTCCCAGGCAACACTCATCTTAATGTAAATATACGGTAAATATGGAGGAGCAGCGTGGTTACCCTTGTATAGGAAGTGTACTGAAGCTACAGCTTCCCTTTCCCCTCTATAACATAGGTGGGGGATGTTCTGTAGTCCTAATACTTTCTCAACACATTGTTTGCAATAAGAACACTTGCTTTGCTATTTGAAGCATGATCCAGCTGTTTTAACCCACTAAATACTGGAAAACCACGCCACAATGGCACATTGTGTGCGACTGCAGCATGGCCCCATTCACTTGTGTGACCAAGCGTGACAGGGAATATAATTTCTGCTGCAGCATGTGTACACCCCCAGTCGCTGCCTGCACCAGCAAACGGGCGAGCAGATGAGTCTGTAAAAATACCACAACCGCAGGGTTTTACTGCCCCTCAATCACAAGTAAAAATGAGGCCTTAGGCTTTAGTACACAGGACTGCACTGGATTTCAGACAGGATCAATGTGTATTTCTTTGCATTTATCGAACAAATATAATAAAACAGTTTCAATTGTATAATTAAAAGTAAAAAAAAAGTTCATTGTTAGGTTTTACATGCCCTTAAAAAAAAAATAAAAATAATAACAAGACAGCATTACATGACCCAGAGTCAAATACTGGCTATAGTAAATTGCCATCTGAGATTAGGCGAGCCAAGATTATTAGTACCAAGGATCAGTGACAACTTTATACCTTAGCTAGAGCAGTTTGCTTATACATGCGTGTGATGAGCCCCATGACTTGGATGAACGGACTGGTGGAGTCTGAAGATCGATTCGGGACATCTCATCAGTTTCTCCCATTCTTCAAAGCTGGTGTTCATTTCCTGCGTAGAGGAAAAATGAAACAGATTTCAAGCAACGGTGAACAACTTGATTCCAATTCTGTAGGTCTCAAATTAAAAAAAAAAAAAAAAAAAAAAAAAACACACACACATTGTGCTGGCAGCAGGTATATTACTTGACTTTAACTACAACTATTATATATGTGATCAACAGAACGTTCTGTTAGAGGTGTAGCTGGATTTTAATTTTGTGAATTACAAAGTGATGCTAGCACTACGTGGACTAGGAACACTAAGTTGGAGTAGTGCCAAGTGTCTCTGCATCTCCGAGGGACTACTTAGCATTGGAGAAGACCAGGAAAAGGAGAGAAGCCTGGGAGTCACGTGTACAGGCAAAGATATTCCAAAACCTTTTCATACTAAGGGTCCTTACACATGGGGACGTCTAGCTGCACAGCATGTATCCTGGCATTTTAGTGCGCCTGGGAGGTACAGGTGCAGCATCTGGCCATGCTGCCTGCAGCCTGTCAAGAAAAGTCCTTGTATTGTTTTCACAGAATACAACTTATTCCATGAATGGGGGAGAGGCAGATGAATAACAGGATCCTCTCCTCCACTCACAAAGCATGTGTGAAAACAGAAAGGGGCAAGAAGCCATTGGCACTTCTTCAATGTATGGCAATATTCGAGACGAGAGCAAGAGAACCTGTCAATATTTCTACACGAAGGAGTAATCAGAAGGAAAAGGGATACACTTCAGTAGAGTTAAGTAATGATACTGAACCCATTTCCCAGAAAAACTAAATTTAACTAAACTTCAGCTTTACATAAGCAACAAACAGATTAGAACCAAACTTTATTTTAAAGGTTTAAACGTTTGTGAAATCTGACCATTAAGCCTGAGCATTGGAGGACAGGCAGTCACAGCCAGAAAAGCAACCACACTGGAATGATGTGTTTTCATGCCTAGCATGGTCAGTTTGAAATAGGAAAGCATTGGGACTGGCAGGACACCAGGTATTTTACACAAATAACAGAATATTGTTAACACATTTACATGGCACAACAAACACATATCAGGAATATGAAATGGTGGGATAACATATTTTTTAGGGAAATCATTGAGCAACATTCTGACAAATCAAAGACTGACCGTTCTGACAAAGACTGACCATACAGTATACTATCTAATTTTACACTCTCCATTAGATCTACTATCAACAATGCAGTACAAGGGCCTGCTTGATTTGATACAGATTGAAACAGGTGTTTAGGTTTGTCCTCCTGTCACAGATTTGGTAACTAAAGAAGTTTGTATAGAAAGTGTGGCTCCACAACATAGTAACTTAGCATGTGGCCCACATTGTACAAGATTTGGGACCTTCATCATACAGCTATCAAATGACAGAGGTTGGTAACCCCATGATCTAAACAAATACAAAATCTGACGAGAGAGCGTTAAAAAATAAAAAAAAAGAAAAAAAAAAAAATGTATGCCATCTTACCAAGCTAATAAATCAATAGGGAGAAAATGAGTCTCTTTGCAAATCTTATCACTTAAAGGGATTATACAGCATAGAGTACATTTAAAGCAGGCTCATTTTTAAATGTCTGCACTGGGTTTTCTGGGAATTTTAATTTAATCTAAATAGGGATACAAGCTGTGATTCTCTATTTTACTTGCTCTGTACCCAAGGGGCAAAGAGCTGGTAAAAAATACATCCATGTATCATTCTGACAACCCTTTTTATCATTTGTGCAGTAATTCTTTTTTTCTATATTGTGTGACATTACGGAGACATCAACTTATGCACCATATTTTGCAATAAATAAAAAGGGGATATCAGGACTTTCTATGCAGGAGGACGTAGACCTCTTTAACATAAGTTATTTATTGATCCATAAAAACGACGAGACTTGCTGGACAGAGCTGCTATTATTGGCTTGTGGAAGAAAATAAAGATGTAATGAAATGACAGGTGGAGGACGTGTCAATGTGACATTGTTTAACATGTAAATCTGCAGTCCTGAATGCTCATTTTTCTGGATAAAAATCTACTGGCAGCTCCACAACGCTTTCCTTGTTTGGTCTCATGTATTGATCATTGGGATCACAGACATAAATAGCTGAAATGATATGCAAATCTTGAATTTTTCCTGTAGAAATTAAAGTGAAATTAAAGCCTAATTTTAACGGCTCTTAAAAATTTTCCCTTCCACCTCCTCCTACCTATCTTGCCTAAACTCTGTAAAAAAGAGCTATATACTGACCTTTTTTTTTTAAGCCCACTATGGTCAGGTGACCCTGCAACTTCAACTCTCCTGTGTCATGGAGCACTTGGCAATGGCTGGGAATTCTGGGAGCAGCGACATCACCCATAGGCTTCCATGATGCAGCCGTTGTCACTCCTCCTCTCCCTTGCAGCTGCTTTCCAAAAGTGCTCCCTATGCTCCTTCATCCAGAGTAGGGAACGAATACAAGAGGTGTGTTACTGGCCAGATCACCAGGTGAAAACAGAGGGGGAAAAAAAAAAAAAGCCTAAGAAAAGAAAACCAAAGCAGCCACCACATATGATGATTGGTAAGCTGCAATATATATTACATTTTTAATGTATAAAAAAGGTGCAGCGCTAACATTAGGCAACAATACGTATTAACTATGCAACATCATATGAAAACATATAAAAATTCAAAGTGACATAGTGCATATACATAAAAGTCACTACGTTGTGTCTGATAGGACGTGAGGAAGGGATTGTTACATCCAAAGGAAAGTTCAGTGAGAGGATGTGAGTAGGTTCTCAAACAATCTACTGCTCTCCAAGCACCACCGACTGTGTGCACGGTGATAAACTGGGGGTACAAATTACGCACTCACCAGATGCGCAATCTTTATGCGCTTTTCTGTACAATAACATGAACGACATCCATTCCCTCACACAGGGTCTGGTTAAATCTAGTCAGGTCCCCTTCTTTATTCAGCACCTTGCGAACGGCCTTCTCCTTAGCTGACCACCACTCTCCAAGACAACCTGGCTCCCGCAGGAGCTTACGAATCCAGGTTGTAGTTATAGAATGGACTGCAATGTCACGCTCATGAGATTTAAATTTGGAAGATGGAGATGACAGATAACCGCCCTCCAGCGATGCAGCCTCTGACGTGAGGATGTCTGACGTTCACAACGTAACCACGAGCGGAGAACCGGGGAAGAATCCTCCTCAGCTTCGTGCCGCTGAATCTACCGTTACTGCATCCGCCTCAGCCAGCCGACACGGCCGCTCTCACAATTCAAATTTGAATGGTGAGAGCGGCCGTGTCGGCTGGCTGAGGCGGATGCAGTAACGGTAGATTCAGCGGCACGAAGCTGAGGAGGATTCTTCCCCGGTTCTCCGCTCGTGGTTACGTCATTCTGTGAACGTCAGACATCCTCACGTCAGAGGCTGCACCGCTGGAGGGCGGTTATCTGTCATCTCCATCTTCCAAATTTAAATCTCATGAGCGTGACATTGCAGTCCATCCTATAACTACAACCTGGATTCGTAAGCTCCTGCGGGAGCCAGGTTGTCTTGGAGAGTGGTGGTCAGCTAAGGAGAAGGCCGTTCGCAAGGTGCTGAATAAAGAAGGGGACCTGACTAGATTTGACCAGACCCTGTGTGAGGGAATGGATGTCGTTCATGTTATTGTACAGAAAAGCGCATAAAGATTGCGCATCTGGTGAGTGCGTAATTTGTACCCCCAGTTTATCACCGTGCACACAGTCGGTGGTGCTTGGAGAGCAGTAGATTGTTTGAGAACCTACTCACATCCTCTCACTGAACTTTCCTTTGGATGTAACAATCCCTTCCTCACGTCCTATCAGACACAACGTAGTGACTTTTATGTATATGCACTATGTCACTTAGAATTTTTATATGTTTTCATATGATGTTACATATTTAATACGTATTGTTGCCTATTTTGTATGTTAGCGCTGCACCTTTTTTATACATTGTCTATTGGGAGGTCTTATATGGTGCCTTTGGTGTACAGCTGCTGATTGTTCTTGAGAGGCGCTCGCATATCTATACATTTTAAGTCTATATTACATTTTTGCTTTTGGGTTTAATACTGCCTTATGCAGTTTGGTGGAGTCACTGCAGTGCTTATTTACGCTATCTTTTATAGTAATCTAAAAATCTCTATATGTAATTGCAATAGCAAAAACACAGACGTGAAAAAAGTAAAAATTTAAAAGGTATATCAATTTTTTACTGTCAGGAAAAAGTTGCAATAATAATTGTAAATATACACTCACTTCCAGAGAGAAATAGAGATGTTTTTCATTATTTAATGGATGATGAATTGTGAGAACAATTTTGTTACTTTGTTATGAGACTGTATATAAGATTACAACCATTCTAAGAATTTGTGTGGAATCTTTGCTAAAGCCTACTGAAAAATGAACTGGTGTACGGCCAGCCTTACTCTTCCGATTGGATCAATCCGTCATCCCCATTTTTATTTTTCAATTTGTTTTACAACAAAAATTGTGGATAATGAATATTAAAAATATAATGAAGCAGAAGGAAGCTCCATAGCACAGTACAGAAAGGACCTTTCCACAAATTTACAGCTGCGGTCCCCCAACAGGAAGCTGTGGTTTTTGATTACAGAATACACTGTAAAATATATCTCTGTGCTCTCTGACCTTTTAAATAAAGTGAAACTGTTGCATATTGAGAAGCCACACGACTGGTGACATTCGGCACCCCAAAAAAGTTCAGCATTGAAGATTAAAGTAGAACTAAAAGCAAAACTTTTTTCCCATTTTGGACGGAGTAAAGCTGGGCATACATGTACTGAAATTTGGCAAATTCAGTATGGAATTTTGATCTATATATGGGCAGGGTGGTTGCACAGAATCTTTTGAAAAACCACCCAGTCAGATTTTTGCCGCTACAGCTGAAAGCACTCATTGGTGTATTCTGATGGTGGGGAAGACTCCCTGCTGTCATAATACAGTAGCTCAGCAAAGAAGCTTCCTCCATCCTCATTAAGTATGTAAATGGAAGAATTGAGTCATTTTTTTTCCTTGGATGCAAAAAAAAAAAAAAAAAAAATTTATCATCTATCGGCTGTTCAGTGGAGGTTATAACCCCTGTGTTTTATTTTTGTCATATGTGTCCCATTGGGGAATTTCCTGTCCTAGAGCCAAAACAGGAAGTGTGAGGAAATCCATATTTGTCACCAATTGGAAGATTTTCCCTTTATTTCCGTTCTGGTGGCAACCCAAAATTTGTGGTTCTCTTTCACTTTTGGTGATAACAGTAAACAGGACAGAGAGGGCGATTGAGCAGCATTTTTTTTTTCCAAAAGGGCAGTTGGACAGAAGTGGATTGGTTGATACACTTCTGTTCAACCATAGTGGCCATACATAGATCGATATTTGGCTAGTTCCTGCAGAACAGGCCAAATTTCGATTTATGTGTGGCTAGCTTAAATAAAAATAAAAAAATGAGCAGGCAGTTCTTTATTGCAGAAGTGACATGCTATGCCTCTTTGGCAATGAAACACACTCACCTATTTGCTCATAGTCATGTATTGAAAGTGTACTGGGCTACACATGCCGAGCGCAGCATTCCAGACACAAGGACATCATCCCCGCTGGCCAATCAAGAGGCTGAAAACCTGGCACTCGGAAGTAGCTTAGGGAGGAAATGACGGCAGCCAGGGACAGATGTAACCATTGCAAGCAGGTGGAGGAGAGTATTCTGCAGACTTTAGTTCCAATTTAATTGCTGGTATAGTGAAGATGGGAGTACTTATCTTTGATTGTGTAAAGAAATGCAGTGTGTTTCTGAGGTAAATCCATTCTCTCCTATTACTGCCTTTCAGCTCCTTCCCTGCCAGTAGCCCGATTTATGGGTCTTTGTTAGTTCAAGGTGAGCTCCTTTACTTCGATCTGCTCCAATGACCATGTACTCTTATGCTCCCAGTAACTCATACAAAGAATAATGTTCAAACAATCTGATCCTCTGAATATAGTGCTGAAAAACTCCCTCACACTTGTGGAGGCAATAAGAGAGAATAAACAAATGAGAATGGTGTTTGATACCTGCAGATGTGAGTTAAGATGCATGAGTTCCTACATTTGACAGCACTACACTCAGAATTCAAAAAGAAACAGACAGTTAGGAACAGTGTCCTTTGTAAGAGTTATTGGGGGCAAAGAAGCACCAATATCCTCATGTGTGATTGACAGAATATACAGACACGTTGCCCGCATTCTTTCGATGTCGCTGCCGTGAGCGCGCTTGTATCCTGGCAGTCTGCGCTGTCAATCCAAACTAATTAGGTATTCGTCTCCTTGAAAAGTAGCATGGCCCCTTGTCCTGGGTTTTACAGCTGTCCTAAAAGCAGCTCACCACCTTTCTTTTTCTCAAAGAAACACAAACAACAGCCAGAGAAAGAGAAAAATACAGACTTGATTTAGCAAGGTTTAAATGCACATGAATGAATTCTCACCAACTTCCAGCCTCGATTTCCTACGTGTTTCTTACCCCAACATTTCATATTCCTGATATGTTTTTGTTGAACCATGTACTTCTGTTAAAAAGTTGACTTTTCAATTTGTATTGCTTCCTTTATGTGAAATCTCTTATGATCCTGGCAATCCCCCTGATTTCCTATTACAAATTGACCACAGTATGCAGAGAAACACATCCTTTCCCACATGGTAGGTTTACGGTCTGTGATGGGAGCACAGCCTGCCAGTCCACCAATGGACAGACATGTGCTGATACACAACCCCCTGCACAGTAATTTACTGGGAAGATCAGTGTATTGCTCTCTGTCTGACTCCTGCCTCCACCCCCCCCTTTAGCCTCCACCCCCACCTCACCAAGACCCTTATTGCAGCTGAGAATAGTTGTAATTTATGAAAAAAAAAAATAAATATATATATATATATATATATATATATATATATATAAAATATACACTTTTTAATTTTAATGCCTTGTATTTCTATTTTAAAATGATGGGTTGTTATACAAGCTAATGGTTCAGACATACTTTAAGGTTTGGGAAACTTGGCTTCATTATGCAATTTCAGTCCAGGACCTGTCTACCCTCTGCTACTTGTAAACATCCCATTTCATTCCCAGTTAACGCTGAACCCCAAGGAAGAAATATCCCTGGAATATCTCTTCCCCTGCCCCCACTTCTAGTTATCTTCTCTAGCTTCCCAGAATCCCTTTTTCTCTCTTGTTACCCCTAGATGACATTAGCAACCGAGGCACCTTCATAGACCCCTTTTGCTCTCCTGCTTGTCATGTAGACTCTGCAACCGTTTTGTTATCTTTTCTTTTAAAAACCTAGAACAAATATGCTACTTGTGCAAACCTACAGTGCATTCATAAAGTATTCAGAGCCCCTTCAATTTTTTTTTCAATTTTATGTCGTAGCCTGAAACTACAGTTGTTTAAATTATTTTTTTCCCCTCAATCTACACTCAGTATCCCATAATGACAAAGTGAAAACAGAATTTTTGCAAATGTATGAAAAAGAAAAAACTGAAATATCACATTGGCATACGTATTCAGACACTGTGCAACAACACTTGAAAAGTAGCTCACGTGCCTATCTATTTAAACCACAGTGACCGTGAAGATTTTGGAACGCCAAAAGAATCATGCTTTTTTTTTTTTAAAGTTGGAACTTCAGTTGCTTAGTCAACTAGAGCCATTTATGAAACAATTTCCAAATATCAGATCCATATTGTACAAAACCTTCTGTTGATAAGCTGAACATGAAGAACTTCTTCTTTGAGCATGACACGAACCCACACAAAATCAACAAAGGAAGGCTTCACCAGAAGAAGATTAAGTTTTGGAATGGCCCAATGAACCCAACCTAAAAACATGGGAAAAATCTGTCCCTTGATCTGAAAGGGTTAACCACAGTGAAGTGAAGCATTATGGTGGCAGCATCATGCTTTGAGGCTGTTTTTCTTCAGCTGGAACTGGAGCCTTAGTCAAGCTAGAGGGAATTATGAACAGTTCATACCAGTCAATATTGGTACAAAACCTTCTGTTAGAAAGCCATGAACTGAAGAACTTCATCTTCCAGCATGAAAGTACCAAAGCACACTCCAAATAAAGTCAAAAATGGCTTCACCAGAAGAAGATTCAAGTGTTTGGAATGGCCCAACCAGCAACCCAGACCTGAATTTGATACAAGTCTGTGGGGTGATCTGATACAGGCTGTGCACAGGAGATTCCCATTACAGACAATCCCAGATTTGGTGTGCTTTTTGCCAGGAAGAGTGGGCAAACAACCCCAGGAGTTATAAGTTTGTGCCAGGCTGTATAGGCTCAGGGTACCAAAAAGCCTGAGTGCTCTAATAAATCAAAAGGTGCTTCAACAATGGGGATTAGTGTAAGGGTGGGCAGACTTATGCAACCTGTTATCTTCTAGTTTTTAGTTTTACTTCCCTCCAGATTAGGTCTGCCTCAGTTTATTTCAACTGAGTCTGTACAGTTAATAGGTTCATGAAAGGTGGAAAAAGTTCTGAGTTCTGTAAATGATTTATCTTTGTCTCGTTTTTTTTTTACATCACAGAAACCTGACATTTTAACCGGGGTGTGTAGACTGTCAGGTGAACTTTTGTTATATCCAGTGTATCTGTTACAGCCTCAGGTGGCAAAGGTTAAGTTCCTTATGTCTATCTGGATTCATTTTTGCTAGAATTAGCAAGGAGCGTTGGATGTTGTCACTTGAGGTGTAAAGGCCAATAAGGTTTCCATTTAGAGGTAGATAGCAGGCCCGGTTGCAGGGAGAACAGCCCAGTTTAGGGAGTTAAAGCAGAACTAAGAGTAGGGTTGAAGATAGCGTAGGGCTGATTTTATCCTTTTACCCACTGCTTCGCTGATCTTCAGACAAGCAGTGATCATCCGCTTGCCTTACTTGGACGCCATCCCCACAGCATCTAAAGTGGACAGGTCAAATCTCATATTGACTCTCACCTCATCCAGGGCACTAAACAAGCTTGCTTATTCGCATGGGGAGACAGCTCTGTTCCTCAGGAAGCCACAGCTGGGTTCTGCATCCATGATGGTGGTGTGTTGCAACCATGCAGCATTTAAAAATTGTAATTCCTGAATGGGAAAATTCTTATGCAGCCCTGTTTTAAGTGGCTGCTTTATAAAAACTTTGCAGAATCTCATACAGGTGTGGTGAAAACATGTGAACCCATGTTAGAAATATAAGCTGGGGAAAACAACGAGGGGACCCCAGCGAACAACCGGCTATGTGAAAACAACGTGGGACCCCAGGGAAAAAGCAGCTGTGGGAAAACAACGCTGGAACCCAGGGAACCATCGGCCGTGGGAAGACAACGCTGGACCCCTGGGAACCACTGGCTGCTGGAAGAAAGCGCTGGACCCCTGGGAACCACCAGCTGTTGGAAGACAGTGCTGGACCCCAGGGAACCACCGGATTTGCAAAGATGAACCCCAGGCATTGGTAGGTACCTCATGTTTAAAAGTCAGCAGGTACAGTATTTGTTTAAAAAAAAAAAAAAAGTTCCTCTTAAATATGTCCTTGCATAGTTAAAGTTCACCTGTAGGTTCAACAGTTTGGGGCAGTAGGGTTAAGTACTCGAGTTCAGGGTGGGGGGGTTAAATGTCAGAGGATTTTCTTAAATTTTTCTTTTTGGTTCCCAAAACTCTACCTTAAACAATACTAGCATACACATTGAATCACTCAGGTATCAACTTTTCATGTTCCTACTGGGATTCAGTAAATTTCATTTACAACCCACCTTTGCTATGTCTTTCGGCAGGTCGAACGGGATGCGCTGTCTGATTTTAGGAGGAAGCTGGGTTAAAACCTCGTTCTTTAATCGCCTGATCATAATGCTGCTTAATCGTTGGTGTAAGTCCTCTAAATTGGAGGCTCCTCGGTAATCCCACTGAGTCCTGTTGCCGAAGTACCTTGGGGAAATTTGAAGAAAAAGAAAAAAAACACACTTGAAACCCTGCGCCGCTGTGAAAAGACACGTTAAACACTTGTCTCTAGCTGTAGGGCCCTGGAATGTACTAGAGAGCCATTGATGCAGCTCTTGGTGACATCGAAAGCATTAATTGATCTGAGAGTGCCCGGGCACCTGTTATAATGCATTGCATAAACACCAGACATATCTGTGTTTGTTGAATGCAGGATTAAGTTTCCCACAGACCTCCTTTGATCTCTTGTTGCAAAAGCTCTGAGCAGACTGGAGTCATCAACAGCCCATGGAATTCAATTACATTTAGTTAAAGAACATTTCTAGCAAAATTAAGGTTTATTGAGAGCGAGAGCTGGAATGCTCCATGCAAGGTATTAACGCCTATTTAATGCAGAGCCCTAGATACATGCATTAAGGAGAGCCGCAGAGACCTGTCCTCAGGCGGTGTTTTCACCGCTTTACATAAATTCAGGAGAAGACCTTTAAGTAGGGGCAGAAAAATAAGATTTTTTTTTTCCCCCCAAACTAACACATATTTGTTTACCATTATCTATTCTAGGTCCAGAATAATTTAGCAATTTGACTCAGAGCAATGAAAGTAATTGAGTTAGTAAATCGAGTTTATTAACTCTATTGCCATGATATGCCTGTAAATGCTTTCAAAGGAGGATTGGCAAAAGGAAAATGATACCGTACCCAAACCTGCAGGGAAACATCCAGTCCCCACGCACACGGGACGTTTTTACAGTGGCTTTTTTTGGCTTTTGACGTTTTTTTCTACAGTCAGTAAACCATCCAGCATGTTATCCTATGTGTTCATACACACAGACTGTAATAAATGTTTTTTGGCTGGAAAAAAAAAAAAAAACAGGAATAGCGGGTTTCTAGAGGAGGCTTTAGCTGTAAAAACGCTCGAACGCTGAAAAACGCAGCAAAACTGTGTTTTTTTACTTTTTTGACCCAAAAATTTTTTTTTTTGGTAACAAAAAAAACCGCTAAAAACCACAAACGAGAAAAAAAAAAGCACTAAACGCTAATGCGAAAACACTAAAAAATGCTGAAAACTCATGTTTTTAATGTGACTTTACACAGCTAACTTTACCGTTATTAAAACCCCCCATGTGCATGGAGCCTTATAAATAAGAGCCGTGCATTCAGTAAAGCTTAACTTAAGGGGTGGACTGACAACTCATGGGGCCCCCGGGCAATAGGGGATCATGGGGCCCCTGTGTCCTTGCCCAAACTCAAAAAAGCCTATGAAAAAGGTACCAGGGGCATCTCATGGGGCCCCCTACTGACCCCGGGCCCTCGGGCAGTGCCTGAGTTTCCAAATGGTCAGTCTGCCCCTGCTTAGGGATAAGCAAATGTTTTTCTAAATATAAGAATCATGTATTCTTATTGAATTTTTTGTGTTCTTTGGGTATTTTTTTCCAGATCTGTGCCGTAATCCAGTGTGAAGCTTTCCCTCAGTGCAGCAGCTTCTTGTAATGGAGACTGCTCAGTGCTGCTCTCTATCCTTGTGCCGGGTGACTGATCTTGTCTCTGCCCACAGTTTTCTGCAGGCAGCCAGTAATGCATGGAATTGTTTGTGTTCACAAATGTCTCACACAGATCAGACCCTGCTTCAGCCTCTCAACTTGCCATTTTCTACAAATTGACAGTGACTGATCACTATGGGAGAAGTCACTGAGGAAATGTTTCCTCCTGCTTGCAGCAGACTGAAGGCATCTCAAGCAAGGCTATTTTCTGCAGGGAATAGGTGCAAGTACTGTACTTTCCACTTCTAATTCACCACTGGGGGTCTCTGCCCCCTACGCATCTATCTGCTACCGAGCACTGTCCCTTGGTTCCACCCCCTAACCACACCCCAGTACCACCCCTTTTAGAGAATACAACTATAGATCTTCCAGCAGTCAGCATCAATAAAACCTCCAACAGGCAGCAACAGTAGACCACTGGATCTATTCTCAACAACAACTTACCCACCCCCAGCAGAAGCAGATCTCCCAGCAGCCAGCATCAATAGACCATCCAGCACCCCATGCCATTACATACATTCAGTGCTGGAAGTGCCAGAACTGTGTTCCCCAACATTCCGGGTGAAAAAAAGCCCTAATCTCAAGGGAGGGATTGGTATACCGGGGTCAGTGCCGAAGTTGGGCTTTATATATAGCAAAATATTTGATAAAGATATACAGTGCCTTGAAAAAGTATTCATACCCTGTGAAATTTTCCACATTTTTGTCAAGTTACAACCAAAAATGTAAATGTATTCAAAGTGGCACAAAATTGTGAAGTGGAAGGAAAATGATAAATGGTTTTCAACATTCTTTACAAATGAATATCTGAAAAGTGTTGTGTGCATTTGTATTCATCGCCCTTTATTCTGATTAAATTAAACAGAGTCCACCTGTGTTGTCATTTAATCCCGGTAAAATACAACTGTTCTTTGAAGCTCTCAGAAGTTTGATAGAGAACATTACTGAACAAACAGCATCATAAAGGCCAAGGAACACACAAGACAGGTCAGGGATAAAGTTGTGCAGAAGTTTAAAGCAGGGTTATACTATAAAAAAAAATATCCAAAGCTTTGAATATCTCACGGAGCACTGTTCAATCCAACATCCGCAAAATGGAAAGAGTACGGCACAACTGCAAACCTACCAAGACATGGCCGCCCACCTAAACCGACAGGCCGGGCAAGAAGAGAATTAGTCAGAGAAGCAGCCAAGAGGCCAATGGTAACTCTGGAGGAACTGCAGAGATAAACAGCTCAGGTGGGTGAATCTGTCCACAGGACAACTATTACTCGTGCACTCCACGAGTCTGGCCTTTATGGAAGATTGGCAAGAAGAAAGCCATTGTGGAAAGAAAGCCATAAGAAGTCCCTTTTTCAGTTTGCAAGCCATGTGGGGGACACAGCAAACATGCGGAAGTAGCTGCTCTCAAATGAGACCAAAATTGAACTTTTTGGAGTTCTACAAAGTATTCAGGGGGGCTGAATACAAATGCACGCAACACTTTTAACATATTTGTAAAAAATTTTGAAAACCATTTATCATTGTCCTTCCACTTCACAATTATGTGCCACTTTGTGTTGGTCTATCACATAAAATCCCAATAAAATACATTTACGTTTCTGATTGTAATATGACAAAATGTGAAAAACTTCAAGGGGTATGAATCTTTTTTTCACGGTATTGTACATTTTAAATTGGAAGTCCAGAAGATTTTTGTTTCTTTTTTAATTATTGTGCTCTGTAAGGAGTCATCTCTAATGATGCTAACACTATGCCTTCAATGCTGCTGTTTAGTGTAAAAATGGCAACTCCTCAGATATTACAGTGCACTTCTTTTGGGCAATGTGGCTGTCTGACAGTGAGGTGATTGTATTTGTTCACTTTCCCCTGTCCATTCACACAAAGTCTTGTATTCTGTTCACTAAATACAAAGCATTGTGAATGGACAAGTGGAGAGGAGAGGCATGTAACAACAGGATCTCCCATCCACTCATAGAATGTCTTATATTGAGTAAACAGAATACAAGGCTTTTTGTTAGTGGACAGGGAAGAGTGAATGACAGGATCCCCGCACCATACCAGAGTCTGAACATGAGCTGCACCAGAAGAAGAGCACTGACTGTAATATCTGGCATCAGTGAAGCTGTCATTATTTTACACTACACAGCAGTATTCAAAACATAGGATTACCATCATTAGATGCAATTCGTGGAAAGCCATTTTGGTCTAATTTTGAAATACAAGAAGGACCCTCTTATAATTCCCTGCAAGAAGCAGCACAGAAACTAGAGCTGTGTGCATGGAAATGTACTTAGCGGCATATACTTTGTTACATCCTTTTTTATTTTCATGCTTCAACTCTTAGTACTCGAAGTAACAAATCTAATCTAATCAAATCCAATCAAGTAAACAGCAGGGTGTTCTTATCCTAATTATTTTACAGCAGCGCTAAAGTGAGAATAAGTTGAAGAGGAGCAAAACTGTGATGGGAACAATGAGAAAATGGCCTTTAAGAACTTTACAATAAACAAATTAGTAATTATAAATTATTAACAAGAAATCTACACTATGAACCTAGATAAAAAGCAATATCAGTTAGTGAGCTCCTAATCACATCTGTCCACTTCAGCTAGAATTCAGAAGATGTCTCACCAGTCAATTGTAGTATATCGCTCTCCTGTGCTGTGCAACTCTCCCTGGTTTCTGCACCATTAATTGCATTCAAACTTCCAAGGCAGATTGAATCTTTCAGTACATGAGAGGCAGCATGGAGCCTGCAGTAGGTGTGTCTGTGATTTCCCTTCCTATACCACAAGCAAGTGTTCCCAGATCACCAACAGTGACCAAAGGGGTATGGTGTTCTGGTGCATCAATATCTGGATAAAAAAAAAAAAACTAAGCCATCCTTCAGGTAGACTGTACATCCCAAGGTTTACATTTCAGTTTTGACAGAAGCAGTCTTACAACAAAGACCACTTTAAAGCCCAGCCTAGAACACCACCCAACCCTCCTTCCTTTTCTAAAGCCCCCTGCACTTTTTTAATTTTCAAAATATATATCATAATTCAAGGTGTCCTCTGTCTTGTCAGGTGATGTCACTGGTCCTTCTGTGGCAATTGGTCTTTACTGCTGCACTGACTTGCAAGCGCCATTCAGTGCTACATTACTGTGACCCCGGGCCTGTGTGATAACACACCACAGGGGGGGGGTATGTCCATGACAGCCTGGGCTCCCTGGAAGTGGGTAAAATTACACTGGCTGTCATGCAACCCAGAAGAGGAATGCCATCTAGCAAATAAGAGGACTTTCTGTGGGGGGTCAACATCTGATTGAAGGTGAGTAGTGCACTTTTTTTACATAGTTATTGATCACCAATTGGTTGGGGTTTTTTTTTATTTAAATCTAAAATTATTCTTAAGTTAGAGTGATTTTTTTTTAAAGTTTTTTTAAAATTATACTTACCTGCTCTGTGCAGTAGTTTTGTATTGAGCAGCCCCATTTCTCCTCCTCTCGAGTCCCCAACCAATGCTCCTGGCCCCTCCATCCTTCCAAGTGCCCCCAAACAGCTTGCTATGAAGGCAACCAAGCAGTCTTCCTCCCAAACCACTGCTCTGCGTGTCCATTCACACACACAGCCACTGCTCAGCCCCACCCCCTCTCTCTCCTCATTGGCACACCGGCCAATAAGGAGGGAAAGTCCCAGGAGAGCCGAGGCTCCCATGCACATCACTGGATTGCGATAGGGATCAGGTAATAGGGGGGGCTGTGTGGGGAGATGCACATAGGTTGGTTTTTTACCTTCATGCATATAATGCATGAAGGTAAAAACCTGAGCCTTTACAACCACATTAAATATTAGCAGCTCATCTACATGCCAGATTATACTAAGCAGAAAAGCTTAAAGCAGAACTTAAACCCACTTTATGTTCTCCTCTAGCACTACTGGACATTTTGCATTTGTGGGGGGAAACCGGTACCTAGTTTTGGTGGGTATCTGCTCCCGCATCTGGTCAGGTCGCCTAGCATCCGCAAACTCCTTGGACATGCCACAGGTCGAAGGAGGCTATAGGACCATACATCACACAGTGCAATGCAGCTTGCACATGTGCAGTGGGAAACTGGATTCCCAAATAGAAAAACCAGACCAGTTAAGGGCAGCCCTGGATCATTGGACAGGAAAGTGTCCCTTTATTAAAAGTCAGCAGCTATCCTATTTTTAGCTGCAGGATTTAATTTTTTTTCAAACAGACTGAAGAACCTCTTAAAAGTGACACATAGAAGTGAAACAAATCCTCCTATACAAGTTGTGCCTGTTTATTTGCAGCAATTTATCCTGTACATCCTCAGTAAAACTCAGAGATTAATAGGATTTTTCACAGACTCACAAAGCAGTGGGCAAGGAGGTGCAGTTACAACACTGTACAGGATATCTGACTGGAGGGAAGGGACACAACCCCCTTCACACAGCACACAGGAACAGAGCTGAGTCTGTCAATCATAGGCTGTGTTTTGGAGCTCCCTTCCCTGTTGCCTTTTTACCTCTTGGTGTCGGAAGTGAATCATGCGGACAGCAAAGGATCTATAGTGCATAGAGAAATTACTCTCATTGCTTTAGAGAGAGGCAAGTAAAAACTATAGATCAATATGCTTTCTTCAGATTTCATGTCTGAGGTTTACAACCACTTTAAGGCTATAAATACCTGACATGCGCATTACAATATTTCTTTGCATATTCTGTCCAAGTTCCAAATCGTCTGGGAAAAGTGCATCGATCTGCATGTAAAGCTAGAAGAAAGGGGAAAGAAAAAGTAAAAAAGTTTACATAAAAATCGTTTCTATGTTACATTCTGAGAACTGGGTTGCTTTGTGATGCTCGGGTAAAGAAAACCCCATGCAGCCATCTAAGAGTAGAAAAAAAAGCTGCACTATAAATTCAATTACCTCTTCGGGTCTTCCAAGAGCCGGCGTCCCGGTGAGCAGGAGTGCTCTTGTCGCTCTCTGAACAATCGGCTGAAGAAGTTTGCTGCGAGACGCATTACGAGACTTCATGTAGTGAGACTCGTCCACTAAAACCACTCTGAAGTGCTGTTTGTAGAGAGCATTTATCAGCGTGGTGGCGTCGGAAGTCAGCAAGCCGTACCCCAAAACTGTCACTTTGCAAGATGCTATTCTCCTTCAGATAGAAAAAAAAAGTATTTTTGGCTTGCTACCTCTTTACCTTTACATTTGCTGCATTGAACTGGATGGGAAGCCCTACCATGGCAGACTGTTAAACCTGTTAGTAAAATATGTAAACCCAACACAACTAGTAATATAGGCAGGCAGCTAAATCCTTAAAGGAAAACTTCACTTTGCTTTCAAAGTTCCCCACTGTGCGGCCTTACCCTTTGATGAACAGCATGCAGTTGCTGAAAGAAATCCCAGCCGCATCTTGCTCCAACTATGTATGCGCACCGTTCAGCCCTTTCATTCCTATGGGTGGTGTAAACTCATAGTGAAGTTCAAACTCAATCTACAAAATTACAAGCTTTGTAAGCAGCACACCAAACGTCTTTTCCTCTTTCACCTCTGGCAGCAGTAGACAGTTATTTCTGCCGGAAATGTTGCTAACACGACATCAGCACCACTTTTTTCAGCACTGCACTATAAGCACAGGACAATGTGATGACACATGCCCAGGGGGTGTGTCCATGACAGCCTGCTCTCATAGGAATTGGGCTGATGATGCTGGCCCTCATTCAACCCGAAAGAGTACCAACAGATGGTGGGGAAGTGCAGGGGGCAGTGATAGAAAAAAAGATGCGTACTACATTTTCTATTTTTAACACACTTGGGCTATTTACTTTATTAAAACTGTAGATCGGCTTTAACAGCCTATTTCTATTTTTGTACCTACTTCTAGCTGTGTGATGCGCTGCTCACGCAGTCGGAGTCTGCACTTGCCCCTTACCCAACATCAGCCTTGTTCTCAATGACTGTAATGTCCTCCGGGCCCAGCTCTGGAATCCATTTCTCCAGCTCCTCAATCCATGGATATTTCAGTGAGGATGGGACAACAATAAGAAGAGGCCACTCATTTCTGTAGAAGTAAGCCACCGCAATGGCCTGGATAGTTTTTCCAAGGCCCATCTGCAAACAAAAGAAGCAAGCACAATTACAAGTAATTCTGGACAATCAAGAAGAAAACTTCGTTAAGTGCAACTATCTCTCAGAAGATAATAAAATAATATAAGTTGCCATTGCATACTTATTAAATTGCTGGGTGCCTGGCTCTGATGCCAATACACAATAAGGCCTAAAGTAGTTGCGCCACCCCCCCCCCCTTTAAATTATTGATTTCAGGTATTACTATTGAAAAGTAATATTAATGCTACAGTATACAATTACATTTTAGATAACTATCCTCTTACAACCTAGTGATAACAGTTTGGAGTTAGACCCCTTTTCTGTTCCAGCATTACTCTGCATAAATGCTCCTCAATTTTTTTCGCAGTAGCCTGGCCCTTCTGTGTGTCCTGACGCCTGCAGGTAGAGGGAACGTTCTGGTGTTCCCTGGCCAAATTTGGCTCTGGCCTGTGTTTGTATGCAGTGTCGGTGAGCCAGTATTACCCTATGTGTATATTTACTACATGATTATTTTCATTTATGTTTTATATTTGTTATGCATAAATGTTCTCTCTTTGGTTTCTTTTTATGTAGTTTCTAGGTTACTCGCTCTCCTGATGAAGCCAGGCTCACCTGTGAAACGCACCAAAAGTCTACCTTTTCCACACGGATACCATACAAGTAATACTTTTTTTAAGTTACACTGTCATTTTGTATTGTTGATTGAACAAATGCACATTGTATTACATGTATATGGTCTACCATTGTGAAAACAATTCCTGTATGTGCTTCAAACACACTTGTCAAATTGATTTTCATACTGAAATTATTCTCACAACCATTTCATATTGAATGTAACTGTCCTATTGATGTCTGTCTGACTGAACATTAACCGCTTGCCCTCCAGAGGATTTACCCTCCTTGCTGACCAGGCCATTTTTTGCTCTAAGGCGCTGTGTTACTTTGACAATTGCACGGAAATTAAACATTAAACCCAAATGAAATTTGTGTCCTTTTTTTTCTCACAAATAGAGCTTTCTTTCGGTGGTATTTGATTACCTGTGCGGTTTTTATTTCTTGCACTATGAACAAAAAAAGACTAACAATTTCGAGAGAGAAAAAAAAATTTATATATATATATATATATATATATATATATATATATATATATATATATTTTACTTTTTTCAATAAAAGATATTCAGTAAATAATTTAAAACAATTAATGTTTGTCATGAATGTAGGCCAAAATGTGTTTGGTAACATGTCTTTGCTAAAATAAAATGGTTTGGTTTACATGAAAGTTATAGCATCTACAAATGGCGTAATACATACTGGGATTTTAATTTTTTTTATACTAGTAATGGCAGCGATCAGCAACTTATAGAGAGGGACTGCGGCGAACATTCTGACACTGGGTGGGAACTGAGTAACTGCCACTGACATCCCGATGACACTAATACAGTAATCAGTGCTAATAAAAAGCAATGACACTGTACTAATGACACTGGGCAGGAAGGGGTTAACATCTGGGGCATTAAAAGGGGTTAACCGTGTGCTGTCTTACATAATGTGTTGTGTGTGTTTTATTCGGGAAACATGCTATGCAGAGAGATACAAAGCAGCATGTTCTTGCTGGCAGGAAAGAGACCTGAGTTGTTTACACACAGGTCTCTCTCCTGTCAGTGTTACTTGGCAATCGCCAGGTGCTGGCGGGGAATCTAAAAAGCCAGGTGACTGACATCCATAGCCGCCAATCGCGGCGCAGGCAGGAGGGCGAGGGAGCGCGCACGCACGCACGCACTGCAAATGCGCAGAAACTCACACAAATGCATGCAATTGCACAAAAATGCCCTGCAACGCAAAAAAAGACAGAGGTGACCTACAAGAAAATACAAATGCCTGCAAATGTACTTTAAAAAGCATGTCAAATGCACGTCACTGAGCATTCAAAACACGCAGTTTCTGGTGTAAATACTGTAGGCCAGTGGTCGGCAAGCCGGGGCTCGCGAGCCACATGCGGCTCTTTGCACACTTTAATGCGGCTCTTCTGTGTGCCAGGCGCCTTCCCCTCCCTCCTCTCGGGCGGCCTCCCCAAAAGTCAGGACTCTGCAGCTAGCCCAGCAATGGGCAAACTACGGCCCGGCGGACCTTTTAATCCGGCCCGCGGAGCATGGCAAACATTGGCTGTCAGGATGTAGGCGGGGCAGCGTGACGAACTCCTCTCACAGTCCGCCCTGAAGACCGGAACGGCGCGGGAACACGGCGAGAGGAACGCGCGGAGCAAAGGTAAGTGAATTGACACAATATGGGGAATGAATTACTATATGGGGGATGAATTACTATATGGGGGATGAATTACTACATGGGGGATGAATTACTACATGGGGGATGAATTACTACATGGGGGATGAATTACTACATGGGGGATTAATTACTATATGGGGGATGAATTACTATGGGGGATGAATTACTATATGGGGGATGAATTACTATGGGGGATGAATTACTATATGGGGGATGTATTTTCAGTTTTAAAAATGTGGCTCTCAAAATAAATTTCAATCGTGGTTTTGGCGAGATTTGGCTCAGTTGAAAAAAAAGGTTGCCCACCACTGTTGTAGGCTCTTAGGGCCCATTTACATCAGATGCACTGGGATGTATTTTTGACTGCTTTCCCACTGCATAGTCAAAAATCCAGTTATCCTATGGGTATAGTTGACATTTGCAGTACAGTGCAGTGGAAAAAAAAAAAAAGTACAACACGCTGCATTTTTCTGCACTGCAAATGCACATTAATGCACAACACAGCACTGCAACATGCTGCAGTGCACAGAAAAGCAAAAAGAAGAATGACAGAAGTGACCCCAAAGGAAATGCATGCTTAGGAAAAATCCACCTCAAATACATGCAAAAAGTGTGTGAAATGCACATCACTGTGCATGCAAAAACGCACAATTTCTGGTTTGAATTCCCTCTTCCTATCAACATGCCTTTCAGCACATGAGCACTGCAGTACAGCCGATTGGCTACTTATGCTGCTTTGCTCAACCCTTGTCAGCTCTGCTTTAACGGGACTACGAGAAGATAATACCAGGTCAAACTCGGGCACTTATCCTGTTGCATTTGATGTATTAATAGATACAGAGCTGCAATATTGTGTATTATGTTTGCCTAGAGTTCAGAATTCATTTTTGCTATAACACTTCATTGCTTATTTGTTTTACGCCGGTGTAATAAGCCATAACAAATGACTATCTTTAAAAGACATAAAAACAAGAACTCTAATAACTCAAACTTCAACACACTTTCCACTTCTGCAGAAACATATCAATTAAATATAGTGGCTCTTTAACACTACAGAGCTGAGAGGAATCTGGGAAAAAAACAAGAAACGACAAGAACTAATAAATAACAGAAAATGATACTGACACTTTTTCCTCCTACACAAACATAATTAACAATACTCTGGAATAAAATAATTAATACAGCAAAATGCTGCAATGTGTATTTCCAACTGTGATCTGCTGTGTGGCTCAGTGAAAACAAACTAATTAATATATAGTGGCTAATTAATACTACATACAGCCCCATTGGGTCAAAATGCTGCAATGTGTAGAAAAAAACAAAAACACGACAAGGAAGAACTAATAAATAGACAGAAAATGATACTAGACATTACTGCTTTTACCCCCTCCTACACAAAAACTGCTGCATTGGATTGATAATAATGCGCGGTCATTAAATAAGCAAAATGCTGCAATGTGTTAATCGGAAGAGAGGTGGGAGATTTAGACCCTCCAACGCTCTCTGCTGTGATCGATAAAATGCTGTGTGGCTCAGTGAATAAAGTAATTAGCTAACTTCCAGGGAAGGCATACAATAAAATAAAAAGTGATATATGCTACAGCGGGCACTGATAGGCGGCACTTCCAGCTGCTCAGGGACTACATGTACTGGCGGCACTGACTGGCACAACCCCTGGGCACTGACTGGTGGCAAACTGACAGTACCATTGGGTGGCAGCCCCACTGGTGGGTAAAGGGTTAGTCTGCCAAAAGCAATATTTCAGGTTGGCACTGCAGAGGCTGGAGGCTCATCACTAAGAAAAAACACCGGGGTTTAAAGCAAAGCTTTAGGCAAAATAAAATGCTGAAACTACCACCAGAACAAGGAGTTTTCAGGTACTTATTTTTCACTTACCTGGCATTTGCGATTCCAGCACCACTTAGAGCGCTCTCTTAAAATGTATTTAAGACTCCGTTCACATCTGGGCACTTTGTAATCCCAGAAAGCTGTGCAGAAATGACAAATCGCACCACGTGTGTATGGGTGCCACCCATTTTCAATGGCAGTGCAGTTCTGTCACGATTTTGGCGCGATTTATTGCACAACAATCACAGCAGAATCACACAACGTTTCATGTGCCATTGAAAATGAATGGCACTTGAACACGCGTGGTGCGATTTGACGTTTGTATTTATTTCAGGTACTTATATAGCGCCGTCAATTTATGCAGTGCTTCACATATATATTGTACATTCACATCAGTGCCTAACAGTCAAGGGGCGTACAATCTCAAGTTTTGCCCAGCCTTTTGGGATTCTGCCTGCGATACATAACACCCGGATGTGAACGAAGCCTAAACCCAACCCTAAACCCAAAAACAAAACGTTTACCAATCCGTAGATGTGATGGCTGTATCTTTTTTAGGCTTTTTATTCTTTTATTTTACCCAGATCCGGCCAATAACACACTTCCTGTCTTAGGGTGTCTTCACTCTGGATGGAGAAGCAAAGGAGACACCTTTGGACAGCAGCACATTCAAGCAGAAGACAGGGGTTAGTGTTAGATGTATTGGTAAGATTTAGATGGACTTGACTGGCAAATTAAAGCTGTACTCCAGCTAAAATGTTCTAAGCAATTATATCAACTTTATTTTTCCCTTTGGGATAAAGATTTCACATAAATGAAAA